GTCAAATTTCATTGCAAACTTATTGCAAACTTGATTGCATTAAGTTTTGCCCACGCATTTTTTGAAAAGTTGGCCAGGCACAGTGGCTCGTGCCTGTAATCCCAACACTTTGGGAGGTCAAGGTGGGAGGACTGCTTGAGCCCAGAGGTTCGAGACCAGCCTGGGCAACATAGTGAGACCTTGTCTCTACAAAAAATTAAAAAATTAGCCAAGAGTAGTGGTGCATTCCTGTAGTCCCAGCTACTCAGGAGGCTGAGATGGGAGGATTGCCTGAACCCAGAGAAATTCAGACTGTGGTGAGCTCTGATCACACCATTGTACTCCTTCCTGCGTGACAGAGACACTGTCTCAAAAAAAAAAAAAATCAAATAAATAAAAACCAAAATAAATAAAAAGAAAAAATTATCATTTGCCACTTCCTCTATCACACATGATGTTTCCTGTGGTCGAGGTCTATTTCCAGGTACTCAGTTTTGTTCTACTTAGTCAATACATAATGGTCTTTTTTTATTTTTTATTTTTTCAGACAAGGTCTCACTCTGTCACTCTGTCACCTTGGATGGAGTGCAGTGGTGCAATCTTGTCTCACTGCAACCTCCACCTCCTGGGCTCAAGCGATCCTCCTGCCTCAGCCTCCCAAGTAGCTGAGACTACAGGCATGAGCCACCATGCCCAGCTAATTTTTGTGTGTTTTGTACAGATGGGGTGTCACCATGATGCCCAGGCTGCTCTTGAATTCCTGGACACAAGTAATCCTCCTGCCTCGGTCTCCCATAGTGCTGGTATTACAAGTGTGAACCATTGAAATGGGCCTATTTTCTCAAACTTTTTAAAATTTGAGACAGTCTCACTCTGTCACCCTGGGTGGAATGCAGTGGCACAATCTCAGCTCACTGCAACCTCCACCTCCTGGGTTCAAGCAATTCTTGTGCCTCAGCCTCCCAAGCAGCTGAAATTACAGGCGCATGCCACAATGCCCAGCTAATTTTTGTTATTTTTTAGAAAAGGAAACAGGGTTTCACCATGTTGGTCAGGCTGCTCTCAAACTCCTGACGTTAAGTGATCCATCTGCCTCAGCCTTCTAAAGTGCTGAGATTACAGACGTGAGCCACTGTGCCCAGCCTGAAATGGTCATATTTTCTATAATGTTGTAATACATCTTTTTATCTTGCAAAACCATTCATTGTTCTTCATGGTTGTCTTGATCATACTTGAACAATTCTACTTCAGTGTAAATTTTACAATAGAGTTATCAAGTTGCACAAAAATCACCTGGGAGATTGTATGACATATTCCTTTGACGCTGTAGATTGTTGGGTAAAATTGACATTTGTACAGTATTTGAGAAGAATATTGTTCTCAAACTCATCAACATGGCCTCTTTTTCAATTTATTTACCCTTTTTTTTTTTTTTTTTTTTTTTGAGAAGGAGTCTCGCTCTGTCGCCCAAGCTGGAGTGCAATAGTGCAATCTTGACTCACTGCAACCTCCGTCTCCCAGGTTCAAGTGATTCTCCTACCTTGGCCTCTCGAGTAGCCAGGACTACAGGCGCGCTTGCCACCACGCCCAGCTAATTTTTGTATTTTTAGTAGAGACGGGGTTTCACCAGGTTGGCCAGGCTGGTCTCGAACTCCTGACCTCAGGTGATTCACATGCCTCGGCCTCCCAAAGTGTTGGCATTACAGGCGTGAGCCACTGTGCCCAGCCTATTTACATCTTTAATGTTCTTCAATACAGATTTATAATTTCCTCCATAGAGGGGACATATATATATTTTTGTTAGATACATCTGTAATAGATATATTCTATATATTCAAAAATTATAACAATTTTTGAAGATTTTGTCAAAGGCATCTTTTATAAAATTCCACTTTTGTTTATTACTCTGATGTGGAAAGACAACTGATTTTGTAATTTGATTAATCTCTGGCAGTCTTGTAAATATTTTATTAAGGCTTCAAATGTATCTGTATCTATTTTTGGATTTTTCTATATATGCAATCATGTCATTGATAAAGACCTCTGTTAAAATTTCATTGTAATTGCTGTACCTTTTACTTATTTTTATTGCTTTCTTATGCTAGGACCTGAAGCTACTTCATTAGGTGTATGATGTTTGCTGAAGACACCTTGTATCTTGTTTGGGAAATTCTTTAAAGGGAATTTCTAGTTGGCTATGAATTATATCATAAAGGGATTTGAAATCACCCAATGCTCATTCATTCATCTCTTGAGATTTAATTAGTTAAGGGCTGATGTGAAAACAGAAACCATACTATGTATTTTAGCAGAGGGAATTTAATATAAAGATTTTAATATAAAGATAAAAATGCCATGTTCCTACATAATCGAGTCTTTATCTTTAGATACTACTAGCCGATATGATGAATTACTTTCACAGTTCAAATGAGAAATAAGGTTCAGAATTTGCAATAACAAAAAGAAAAAAGAAAAAATTATTCTGACACCTGTTAACATTGGCTATTCAGGATGACTGAGACAGGTATCAAGACTAGTGCAGGCCAGGCACGGTGGCTTATACCTGTAATCCCAGCACTTTGGGAGGCAAACTGGGCAGATTACCTGAGGTCAGGCATTCGAGACCAGCCTGACCAACATGGTGAAACCCCCATCTTTACTAAAAATACAAAATAAGCAGGGCATGGTGGCACGCGCCTGTACTCCCAGCTACTCAGGAAGCTGAGAGAGAAGAATTACTTGTACCTGGGAAGGGGAAGTTGCAGTGAGCCAAGGTTGCACCACTGTACTCCAGCCTGGACAACACAGTGAGACCCTGTCAAAAAAAAAAACCAAACAGAAATCAATTTAAAAAAAGACTAGTGCAATAATGTAGAGAGATCAGGTTCAACTCGGAATACAGCAAAGACAAGGGGGTTTTATAGCCAAGAAACACGGTGCAGCAGGTGAGGGAGGCTGGGTGTGTATGTCAGTGGATGGAAAACTACTAAGAGGAGATGCTGAAGATACCGGGATTCTTTCTAAACTGACTTAACAGGATTCTTGCTGAAAGCAGGCCAGCATGATCAGAGAGCAAGAGTGAGGGCTAGGGAATTTGATCAGATAGTGAAGGTGATCAGATATCAAGAGTCTTGCAAAACTGACTTAGCAGGATTCTTGCTACAGTTGGACAAGGCAGTCCCAAGGACAAAAGTATGGTTAAGAAGAGAGTCTTTGTGACTCTTTAGGAAAAAAATACAAAAATACAAAATTTGGCACACATGGGATGATTTTTGGACTGAGAAAACACATCAAATCACAAAATCTAAAATGCCAAAATATGAGACAACTCAGAAAAATGGCATACTACTTTTATTAATAGTATAGTCTACCTGTCTGCTATACCTGCATACTTTTTTCCTGTATTTTTGGCTGATATTCTTTGATTGCCTTCATAATGGAGATTTTTTTTTTTTTTTTTTTTTTTTTAGACAGAGTCTTGCTCGGTCACCCAGGCTGGAGTGCTATGCCATGATCTTGGCTCACTTCAACCTCTGCCTCCTGGGTTCAAGTGATTCTCCTGCCTCAGCCTCTGGAGTAGCTGGGACTATAGGTGTGCACCACCACGCCTGGCTAATTTTTGTACTTTTAGTAGAGACGAGGTTTCACCATGTTGACCAGGCTGGTCTTGAACTCCTGATCTCAGGTGATCCACCGCCTCAACCTCCCAAAGTGCTTGGGATTAGAGATGTGAACCACCACACCCGGCCAATATTGGAGAATAATTTTATAATATAATTTTCATAGATAGACTAGAAAGAGAAGTCGGTATTTCTTCGGGCATGGGAGGTTGACATTTGTTTTGATCATTGATAGCTTAAGAAACTGTCTTTATTCTCACAATACATTAATCAGAATGTGACCATTTGTTAAGGTCATTGTGTTAAATTGTGGGAAACTATTATGAAATTTATTTCATAAAAGAGCAGTAACAATGCAGGTTATTTCCACACATTGCTTGGACCCCTGTTGGGCATCTAGAAAGTGGGCCCTGGAAGGGAGGGCATTGAAGATTGAACTTCATTAGCCTGATGGTGGCAAATTTGCTGCTGTAGCTCCTTAACAGGATGAGGCTTTAGCAGGCGCTTGTGTTTCACTGCCATCCTACAAGACCCTCAGGTCCATCAAGACCCAAACTGGACTGTGCTGTGTCCCAAGAATCTTCTTAACGTAAGAGTGCTTCAGCTCTCTCATGTTCTGACCCTCCACTCAATTTGGGTCAAAGAAAAATTTTTTTTCCAGCACTTTTGAACTTCTTTTTTTTTTTTGCAAGGTTTCACTCTGTTGCCCAGGTTGGAATGCTGTGGTGCAATCATGGCTCACAGCAACCTCAAACTCCTGGGCTCAAGGAATCCTCCTATTTCAGTGCTCCAGAGGAGCTGAGACTATAGGTGTGTCACCACACCAGCTAATAGCTTTTATTTTTTCTAGGGATGGGGTCTTGCTATGTTGCCCAGGCTGGTCTCAGACTCCTGGGCTCAAACAATCCTTCCACCTCAGCGTCCCAAAGTGTTGGGATTAGAGGCATGAGTTACCGTGCCTGGTCACTTTGAACATTTAAAATCAAATTTAAAATTATGTATTTCCAGAATGTTTCATGGTTTTTGGGTGGAGGGTGGTTCTAACATCTCACCTCATCACCAGGACAAGCCCTCGTTTCTCTTTTCTTTCTGCATTCACCCCCCTGAGGATCTCACTCATGACTGAAACATCATTTGAGGGTGATCACCTCCAGATCCCCAGCTGGACAAGCCTCGCATCGTCTGGGGGCCTCAGTATCTTCACCTGCAGCGTCCAGTGGGGGTGGGAGCAGGATGGCTTCCCAGCCCCCGCCTCACCCAGACAGCACGTGATGCCCAAGTTCTCCTTCTGTCTACAGCCACAGCTCTCACTCACCCACCGGCTTCCTGTTGGGGCTTCTTCAGCCCCACCCCACATTTGGGGCATTTCCTTCCCTGACAGAGGGACCTGGGACCGGGCTGGGGCCCTGGCGGATGGAGACATGCTGGCCCTGCTGCTGCTGCCCCTGCTGTGGGGGGGTGAGTGAGCTGAGGGAGGAGGGACAGGTACGGGGGTGAGAAGGTGGGGCTGGAGCTGCAACTGAGACTCTGCCCCCCCAGGGTCCCTGCAGGAGGAGCCAGGGTACGAGCTGCAAGTGCAGAAGTCGGTGACGGTGCAGGAGGGTCTGTGCGTCCTCGTGCCCTGCTCCTTCTCTTACCCCTGGAATTCCTGGTACTCCCCTTCCCCACTCTACGTCTACTGGTTCCGGGACGGGGAGAGCCAATACTATGCTGAGGCTGTGGCCACAAACAACCCAGACAGAAGAGTGAAGCCAGAGACCCAGGGCCGATTCCGCCTCCTTGGGGATGTCAGGAACAAGAACTGCTCCTTGAGCATCGGAGATGCCAGAATGGGGGACACGGGAAACTATTATTTCCGCGTGGAGAGAGGAAGGAATGTAAAATACAACTACGTACAGAATAAGCTGAACTTGGAGGTGACAGGTATGGCGGGGGCCCTTGGAGAGGACCCTGGGACGTGGAGACCCCCTGTGTGAGAACAGGGACAGGACCTGGGCAGGGGCGGTTGGAGGAGGTGTAGGACTTGGGGCAGGTCGGGGCCTGAGGCCTGGCCACTCTCGGGGTCACACCGTACGTCTTCAAGCCCCTGGGGCCCAGGTATCTCCCTGTCTCCTCCTCAGCCCTGACAGAGAAACCCGACGTCCGCTTTCTGGAGCCTCTGGAGTCCGGCCGCCTCACAAGGCTGAGCTGCAGCCTTCCAGGATCCTGTGAAGTGGGACGACCTCTCACATTCTCCTGGACGGGGGATGTCCTCAGCCCCCTGGACCCCGAAACCACTGGCTCCTCGGAGCTCACCCTCACCCCGAGGCCCGAGGACCATGGCACCAACCTCACCTGTCATGTGAAACACCAAGGAGCTCAGGTGACCACGGAGAGAACTGTCCAGCTCAATGTCTCCTGTGAGTGGTCCTGGGGACACAACTGGGTCCCCAAGGGCAGTGGGATTAAAGGGTTTGTGTGTGTGTGTGTTTTTTTTTTTTTTTTTGTGTGTGTGTGTGTGTGTGTGTGTAAGAGATAAATAAAACAATAACTTGAGAAGCCTTGTGCGTGGATCTGAGCCTTGGGATCTGGGAGGGAGTGAGCCAGGACAGCCTTCCCCACTTGGTGAGTTTCTGTGGCTCCTCTTTGGGTACCTCCTGGGCCCATGCCCATCTCACTCCTCACTGCTGAAGCCAAGGTTATGTCTTTTTATCCCAGATGCTCCACAGAACATCACCATCTTCAGGAATGGCACAGGTAGGAAAGACCTTCTCTCTAAAGCTGAGACCTGCCTCTGGGTCTGTCTCTGAGCAGATGTAGAGAATCAGAGCTTGAATAGAATCAGATTTGGGAAAAGCAAGAATGAGAATTACTGTCTTCTGGCTTCCACCTTCTGTGAGCCCCATGTGCAGGCACACATGCACACATGCACATACACACTCACACACTCACATACACGCGCACACACTCACATGCAGACATGCACATGCACACGAACATGCACACGCACACACTCACATGCACACACGCACATGCACACGCACACGCACACGCACACACTCACATGCACACACGCACACACACACTCACATGCACACACATAGATGCACACATGCACATGCACACACGCACGCACACGCGCACACGCACATGCACACGCACACACTCACACACACACACGCACATGCACACACGCACATACACATGCACACGCTCACATGCACACACACCACCCACGCGCACACACACACACACACGCACATACACCACACACGCACACATGCACATACACCCACACATGCACACATGCACATACACACGCACATACACATGCACACGCACACATGCACATACACTCGAACATGCACACATGCACACACACCATGCATGCACACATGCACATACACACTCACATGCACATGCACATGCACACATGCACATACACCACGTATGCACACATGCACATACACTCGCACATGCACACATGCACATACACACGCACACGCACACATGCACATACACCATTGACGCACACATGCACATACACTCGCACATGCACACATGCACATACACACGCACATGCACACATGCACATACACCATGCACACACACATGCACATACACACGCACATACACATGCACACGCACACATGCACATACACCACGCACGCACACATGCACATACACCCACACTCGCACACATGCACATACACAGGCACACGCACACAGTGCACACTCATGCACTCTGCTCAAAGCGGTGAACAGACTTTAGACTCCTCCCATCTCCCATGCCTCCTGTGGTCTGGTTCTTCCCACAGTCACCAAGGACCAATCCATGTCCCTCTTATCTCAGTCAGCCTAGCTCTGTGGTTCTTCTCCTCTCACCCTTCCACTCCTGCGTTCTCAGTCTTATGTCCTGCCACACTATGGGACTGTATTTCCCAATGCCACAGGAGGGCTCTCTGTCCTCTTTCCACCACAGTCCAGGCATGTACCAGTGAGATATTGAGCCTCCTCTGGAGACATGAGACTCAGACAGTTTTGGTCAGTTTCCTGAGTGTGCAAAGGCCCAGCGTTTGAACCGGGATGGAACCAAGCCAGCATGGCCAGGGGAGGAGAGGGAGATGTCATCTGGATCCTGGGAAGGAGGGAAGAATAGGGACTGTCAGCCTCCCTGACCCCATCTCTCTCTCCCCAAAGCCCTAGAGATCCTGCAAAACACCTCGACGCTTCTGGTCCTGGAGGGCGAGGCTCTGCGGCTGCTCTGTGAAGCTCCCAGCAACCCCCCTGCACACCTGAGCTGGTTCCAGGCATCCTCTGCCCCGAACACCACCCCCATCGCCAATACTGGGATCTTGGAGCTTCCTCGAGTAGAGTTTACAAAAGAAGGAGTCTTTACCTGCCGCGCTCAGCACCCGCTGGGCTCCCTGCACATTTTTCTGAATCTCTCAGTTTACTGTGAGTGTGGGGGCAGCTGGAGCAGGAACTGTACGGTATTAAAGAGGGAAGAGGCTCCCTGCTGAGTCCTGTCCTCCCTCCCCACAGCCCTCCCACAGCTTCTGGGCCCCTCCTGCTCCTGGGAGGCTGAGAGTCTGCACTGCAGCTGCTCCTTTCGAGCCTGGCCGGCTCCCTCCCTGTGCTGGTGGCTTGGGGAGAAGCCACTGGAGGGGAACAGCAGCCAGGGCTCATTCAAGGTCAACTCCAGCTCAGCCGGGCCCTGGGCCAACAGCTCCCTGATCCTCCACGGTGGGCTCACCTCTGTCCTCAAAGTCAGCTGCAAGGGCTGGAACACCTATGGGTCCCAGAGCGGCTCTGTCGTGCTGCTGCAAGGTCAGGGGGCGTATTGCAGAGGGCAGAGGACTGAGGGGAGGGGCATGGATCCCAGAGTGATGGATGGTAGGAGAGAGAGGCTGGACTGGCGGTGGGGAGGACAGGGTTCTACATCTCCTGTCTGAGCAGGGCCCTGGAGCAAGTTGCCCAGCAGGTGGGAGGAGAAGAGTCTGAGTGCTGAGAGTGAGTTATTGCATGCCCCTCTTTTCTGCAGGGAGACTGAACCTCAGGACAGGAGTGGTTCCTGCAGCCCTTGGTGGTGCTGGTGTCATGGCCCTGCTCTGTATCTGTCTGTGCCTCATCTTCTTTTTAATGTAAGTCTTGGTCCCAGGGAAGGTACAGGTTGGTGTTTGTAGGGAGTAGGAGAGACTGAATGTCAGAAATGCAGAGCTAAGGCCAGAGGTGGTAAAGTGTGCTTGTAGCTTCAGATGCTCAGGAGTCCGAGGCAGGAGGATAGCTTGATCATAGAGGTTGAGGCTGCAGTGAGCCGGGATTGTGCCACTGCACTCCATCCTGGGCCACAGAGCGAAAGACCCTGTCTTAAAAGAAAAACCAAACCAAACCAAAAGCAGAACTGAGTAGATCCAGAGAGGTGTTTCTTTCTTTCTTTCTTTCTTTCTTTCTTTCCTTCTTTCTTTCTTTCTTTTCTTTCTTTCTTTCTTTCTTTCTTTCTTTCTTTCTTTCTTTCTTTCTTTCTTTCTCTCTCTCTTCCTTCCTTCCTTCTTTCCTTCCTTCCTTCCTCTCTTCCTTCCTTCCTTTCTCTCTCTCTTCTTTCTTTCTTTCTTTCTTTCTTTCTTTCTCTCTTTCTTTCTTTCTTTCTTTCTTTCTTCTAATAGCTTTATTGAGATACACACTTTGTACAATTCATCCACTGAAAGTGTACGAGTCAATGGCTTTAAGTATATTGACAGAGTTGTGCATCTGTCACCAAAATCAATTATAGAACTGTTTCATTAGCCTAAAGTGAAAAACCAAGACCTAAAGAAACGTTGCACCCCTTAGCTATCACTCCCGCTTCTTTCCCCCAGCCCTAACCTATTCTCTGTCTCTGTGGATTTGTCTGCCCTGAAGCTGCAGCTGTACTTTGTGTGAATGGAATCATGCGATATGTGGTCCTTTGTGGCTGACTTCTTTCACTCAGCATAATGTTTTCAAGGTTCATCCATGTTGTAGCACGCATCGATACTTTATTCCATTTTGTTTCCAAATAATATTCCATTGTATAAATGAAACACATTTGATTTGTCTGTTCAGCCATTGATGGGCATTTGGGTTGCCTCTGCTTCTTGGCTATGATGCATAACACTGCTATGACCATTCCTACCATGGTTTTGTGTGTAAGAGGGGGTCTATATGATGGAAATTCAGTCCATGGCGCCCTGACCAAACCCCTGGTTATCCAGGAGGATGGAGCCCTCATTCCCATGTCAGGAAGGTCTCTGAGTTCAGTTCCAGGGCCTGGATATCTTCACTGTCATTTTCACCATCTTAACACGGGATGGGGCAGCCTGCGAACCTGTACCTGGGTGGTCCCAGCTGCACTGTACTGGTTTCTTTCCTTAGAGTGAAAGTCCGCAGGAAGCAAGCAGCTGGGAGACCAGAAAAAATGGATGATGAAGACCCCATTATGGGTACCGTCTCCTGGGTGAGTGGCTTGGGAATCTTCTCTTGTGCATGTCCACTCAGAAAGTCCAGGCTGAGCTCCTCGGCATTCCACCAAACCCACTCCTCCCTCGTCTCCTGGGAGTTCTCTTCTCTCCTGTTCTCCCCCTTCATATCCCAGATCCAGGAAATCATTATGTCCCATTCAACCTTCTTTGTTTGTCTGTTTTGTTTGTTTTTGAGATGGAGTTTCACTCTTGTTACCCAGGCTGGAGTGCAATGGTGCAGTCTTGGCTCACTGCAACCTCCTCCTCCCAAGTTGAAGCGATTCTCCTGCCTCAGCCTCCCAAGTAGCTGGGATTACAGGTGCACACCACGACCTGCAGCTAATTTTTGTATTTTTAGTAGAGACGGGGTTGTGCCATGTTAGTCAGGCAGGTCTTGAACTCCTGACCTCAGGTGATCTGCCTGCCTCGGCACTCCCAAAGTGCTGGGATTACAGGCATGAGCCGCTGCGCCCAGCCACCAACCTTCTTTCTAAAAGTAAAACTAACTTGTCCTCTGCTCATCTTCCTTCCCCACCTCTACTGACCACAGAGCCTGCCTCACCTCCTCCCTGCCTCCATCTCTCATCCCAAACTTCAGGCTGCCAGAACCATCGCCCCAAAACTATTACTTCCCAGGCAGCCTGGAGTTGTTGTTTGTTCCCATCGCTTAGAGAATCAGGCCCGTGTTCCTTGCCCCACACCAGGTGGCCACTGCAGCCTGTTTCCTAACCTCTGATCCTGCCCCGTGGCCTGGCCACGCTGGCCTTCTGTCTCCATACAGACCTGCTGTCCTACAACTTAGAGCCCTTGCAAGTACAGTTTCTTCCACCCTTCCTTCCCTGTTTCCACCAGACTACCTCATCCAATCCTTCCAGCTCTAATCTCAGTATCTGTTACTCTAGTCATTTCCCCTCCTTTTGACATCTACCCCTTCTCTTCTGTGTTTACAGCCCTATACGCATCCCTGTCCCCATCACGCATCACCACTGCCTTTACCTGTCTCCACCGCCTCATCATATCTGTAGAATTCTTTTTTATTTTTATTTTTTGGAGACGGAGTCTTGCTCTGTCACCCAGGCTGGAGTGCAGTGGTGCGATCTCGGCTCACTGCAACCTCCGCCTCCCAGGCTCAAGCAATTCTCCTGCCTCAGCCTCCCAAGTAGCTGGGATTACAGGCATGTGCCACCACACCCGGCTAATTTTTGTATTTTTAGTAGAGACGGGGTTTCACCATGTTGGCCAGGCTGGTCTCGAACTCCTGACTTCAGGTGATCTGCCTGCTTCAGCCTCCCAAAGTGCTGGGATTACAGGTGTGAACTACCGCGCCTGGCCAATATCTGTGGAATTCTTGAAGGACAGGGGCTGGGGCTTCTTTAGCCCCTGCAGTTTTTTCTCATGCTGTTTCTGTCCAGCATGTCTCCTCTCCTCTTTTATAAAATTGATCTAGTGTTGCCCCGAATGGAATTATCCAAAATGCTTAGTTCATGACCAAGCTATCATCATTGGAACAAGCAGCAATTACTTTTACTTTTTCACTTTTGTTCATAATATGATAAATAACTGGGAACCCACCATCCAACCTAAGACCTAACACATTGGTGATGACTTATATCCACCCGTGTTGCTCCCTGATCCATTCCCAGTAACCACTGTTGTGAATCTTGTCTTCCTACTGTTGTCACAATATGTAGACTTAACATATACCACTATTTAGTTTTAACTGTTTATGAATCTACAAAGGGTATCGTGTTCCATGCACACTTCTCGGACTTGCTTTGTAGACTCAACATGGTATTATGATTCATCCACGCTGTATGAAGTTGCAGTTGTATTCATTTTTCCTGCTTATAATATCTATATTTTTTTGAGACAGGGTCTGACTCCATTGCCCAGGCTGGAGTGCAGTGGTGCAATCTCGGCTCATTGCAACCTCCGCCTCCCGGGTTCAAGCAACTCTCCTGCCTCAGCCTCCTGAGTAGCTGGGATTACAGGCGCGTACCACCACACAAGGCTCATTTTTGTATTTTTAGTAGCGATGGGGTTTCACCATGTTGGCCAGGCTACTCTTTATCCACCCGCCTTGACCTCCCAAAGTGCTGGGATTATAGGTGTGACCACTTATAATGTTATATTTTCTGATTGTATCTATCACCTAAGCTCATATTGATGCACACTTGGGTTTTTCCATTTGAGCCATTCTGAACATTCTTATCCCTGTCTCATTGTATTAACATGCGAGAGCTTTTCTTTAGCATTACCTAAAGATTGAGTTGCCGCATCGCTGGACATGTGAATGGGCATCTTCACAAGGTCATGAAAAACGGCTTTCCAAAGCAATTACATCCATTTATACTCTCATCTATGCCTAGGGAAGTCTTGTTGTTCTGTAATCTCTTCAGCACTTGCTTTTCTCAGTTTTCTCAATTTTGGAGGCTATTTTACTATCTTACTATGGTATTGATTTGCATTTCCTTGGTAATCAATGAAGATGAAAAATCTCTCTCTGTTTTCATCCTCTATAAAATGCCTGGCCACATCTGGATCCCATTTTCCTATTGGGTGTTTGACTTTTTCTCATTGAATTTGCTTTATACATCTTTACACTATTTTTCTCATTATATGTGTCGTAAATATAAATATATTCTCCCAATGTGTAGCTTGTCTTCACTTCTTAAAGTGATCTTCAATGAACATAAGTTCCTAGTTGTAATATAAGCATATTCACAAATCCTCTCTTTTCTATTGAGTACCTTTTGGATCTCATTAAAAAAAATTTCACCCATCCTAAGATTAGAAAGATACTCAAATATAGTTTCTACCAAAAGTTTTATGCTTTTCTTTTTAATTTTTTCTTTTTAATTTTGTGGATACATATTAGGTGTATATATTTATGGGGTACATGAAGTGTTTGAATACAGGCATGCAGTGTGAAATAAACACATCATGAAGAATGGGGTACCCATCCCCTCAAGCATTGATCCACTGAGTTGCAAACAATCCAGAAGTCACCTAAGTGTCCATCAATAGTTGAATAGATAAAGAAAATGTGGTGCATATACACAATGGAGTACTATTCAGCCAAAAAAGGAATGAGATCCAGTCATTTGCAACAACATGGATGGAACTGGAGATCATTATGTTAAGTGACATAAGCCAGGCACACAAAGACAAACATTGCATGTTCTCACATATTTGTGGGATCTAAGAATAAAAAAAAATTGAAGTGATGGACATAGAGAGTATGCTTTTCTTTTGACATTTAAGTGCTCACCCTATCTGGGGTTGACTTTTGTGTGTGGTGTATAGTGTTGATCCAGATACGTTTCTCCTTCATTTCTGAATAGTCCTTCTCCCTTCTCCATTGAGCTACATGCCAATTCTGCCATGTATTAAAATTCTGTATTTTTTGGGTCTCTTTCTGTGGCCTCTGTTCTATTCCAATAGTCAATTTTACTGTCCCTGGGTCATCACTGTCTATAAATTCAAAAATAAGTCCTGATATCGAGTACATCAAAACCCCTTCCTTAATCTCCTTCAATAGTATCTTGACCATTCTTGATCCTTTTTTTTTCACTTAAATATTAGAATCAGGTTGTCAAGGCTGGGCACGGTGGCTCACACCTGTAATCCCAGCACTTTGGGAGGCCAGGGCAGGTGGATCATGAGGTCAGGAGATCAAGACCATCCTGGTTAACATGGTGAAACCCGGTCTCTACTAAAGATACAAAAAATAATTAGCCGGGCATGGTGGCGGCGCCTGTAGTCCCAGCTACTCAGGAGGCTGAGGCAGGAGAATGGCGTGAACTCGGGAGGTGGAACTTGCAGTGAGCCAAGATTGCGCCGCTGCACTCCAGCCTGGGTGACAGAGTGAGATTCCGTCTCAAAAAAAAAAAAAAAAAGAATCAGGTTGTCAAATTCCAAAAAATGCATTGAATCTATAGCTCAATCTGGAAAAATTTTACTTGTTTAGAAATTCATGCCTTCTTATACTTGAGAGTAGGTCTTTCTCTCTCTATTCCTTTAAATCTTTTTAAGTGTTTTTAAGAGATAATGTAGAGTTTCTTCACACAGGTCTTACACATCTTTTGTTATTTTTCTTCCTAAATACCAGCTTTTGTTGTTATTGTAAATGCTATCTTTTTAAAAGTGCATTTTCTGATTCCTTATCACAGTGCAGAATGAAGGTATTTTAAAAATATAAGAGGGGTTGATATTTTTTGTAATTAAAAAATATCACAAGTTGGTCTTGCATGTGTCCTTTAGAATCTTTTTGCTTTGGTAGCTGGAGAATTCTTAGATCTTATTTATAAGCCTGCTGATCTCTTCTTTTTCAGAAATATAGATACCATCTGAAAAATTAGTGATATTCCTATTTTAGCTGTCATGGCTTGCTGAATCAAAGCAGCTGGGTTTGATGCAAGTGTAATGCTATTTTCTTCAAGAATCAACTCATCCTTTTGGGCTTCAGGTACTGAGCAAGAAATGCCTGTCCTCATGTATACTCTGCAGATGTGTTTTTCTTCTAAGGGATGTCAGATTTCAACAACTGACCCACTGCCCTGAATAATCACTTTGATGAGGAAGTGAGGACACGCAAACCTCCTCTGGCAACGGAAGTCCATGTAACACCTCAGACTGTGGGCAGTTCATGACTATGGATGGTTCGAATAGAAGCCAGTTACTTTTCATTTCCTCACCGTTTGGCAACACCGAACTTCTCCTTTTCCTTTCCCGCATTGATGGGGTTGAATTTCTCGGCTGGGTTCCTCGAGGGGCTTCACTATAACTGTGCATCTCTTCATAGTGACACCCACCGCTTCTGGGGTGTCAGCTCTCTGGATTTAGAGAATTGTCTTAATTCTCTCGGTAAATGCAGCAAGTAAAACTCAATTACATTTTTAATTGATTTCATTTCCTTCCAACTTGCTAAGCTCCCTTATTAGTTCAAATAACTTGTTATAGAAACTGAAGTATTTTAAATAAATTTTTTTCAATT